GACGGTGATCCTCCTTTGGTGCCAACTGCGGCGTGTAAAGTCGGTGTCCGGCCTTCTTCTGCATGGGCAAATCAAGTCTGAAACACATATATTTAGATAATAATATGATAATAAATACTGGAAAATATATGATATATTATGTTGTACAATAATTGTTTAACATAAATAGCATAATGGAAAAAAAAAATCTCATGCATGTTTGTGTATTGAGGTGGGCTTCTACTATGCATGGATGCATGTTGACGGAAGTCCTTTTCCCATATGGATGTTGCATGTTGAAATGAGAAATATGTAATTGAAGGCTAGCTATTTAGATATAGAAGATTCATAGTGTGTCATCATTTCTTTTTTTGCCAATAAAGTCTTTTGTGGGGATTTTGTGGCAATAGTCATGATGTGGGATTCGTGGAGCAAGACACACTTGAAGAATCTACGTACGGGATTCACACGAGGAATTTACCTAGGTTCGGACCCTCTGCCTAGAGGTAACACCCTACTTCTACCGAGTGTTTAATCAAGGCTCGTAGGACAAATTTGTGGTAGTACAAGTATATGAGTGAATCTTGTTTGTCATTTTCTGCCGCGCAAGGGTGCCCTTGCCCTGCCTTATATAGGTCGGGAAGGTTGGGCCTAGTTGGTCGAACAGTACATCGGCCTAGTTGGTGTAGTAATGATGCATTGATCTAATGTGGTTATGCTTGGTTTAGTGCGTAGAAGTAACGCTCGGATTATGGTGCTAGTGTCTTGGACAGGAATCCATGGACGGTATTTGTCCTTGGAATAGAAGCCAACTTGTGTCGTAGAGGATGCCAACTCTGTCCTTAGCTTGGGTGTTATCGAGTGGTCTATATCCCGGTGGACCGTCGTGCTTTGAAGATCTCCAGAGTGTCCCAATATTGTAGCGGCACATGAGTTTTTTCTCCTGTTGTTTTATTATCGGGGCATTCACTATTTTGCATCAGCTTTTCAACTCTTTTTCCCTTTTCTTCTTTCTCTTTTTTGGTTTTCTCTGTTACTTTCCTCAGTTTCATCGATTTTATCTGGTTTTTTTTCCTTTTTAAATTTTTTTCAACACATGTATAAGTTCTTCATACAGATTGTACATTTTTCGTATACATTAGGAACATTTTTTAAACATGTTTAAAATTTTGTAAACATGTTTAATATTTTTTAAATACGTGATTATTTTTTGAAATATGTTTTGATCTCTATTTTTTTTATAAACACTGTAAATTTTTCTTACACACCTAGAAAAATTTTATGCACATTTAGCATTTTTGAAATACATGTTTTAAAACTTTTTTGAAATACATGTTAAAAAATATATGTTGAAATGTTTTTAAATGATACTAAACTTTTTCAAACTATGCAAATATTATTTTACATTGTATAAATTTTTTGTTTCAAATATTTACAAACATATTTGGAAATGCGTGAACATATTTTTAAATGTAACGTACATTGTTTTGGATGGTACTAAATATGCTTTGGCATTAAAAGAACATTTTTTATATGGTATACCATTTTTCAAAAGTGTCATCCACTTTTGTAATGTGTGAACATTTCTGAAGTGTCACATGCTCTTCTTTTTAAAATGGTACATAAGTTATCGAAAGGTTGAGCAAATTATTTTCACTGTGTAGTAATTTGGAAAGGAGGGAGTACTAATTTGGAGTCCACAGTAAGTAAGGTATTATTTACTAGTCTGATGCTTATTATTACGTCATGAAACCTAATTTTGTCATATAGTTCTAAATATTGCACCATTTCTGTTGACAAAACCTAATTTACATAGCAAGTAAGTAATGTTTCTCTGCGTGCTATTTGTTTCACTTTGTCTTCCCGATCATTTCATCTAAAAATATCGTACTGTTTTCTGTTGACGAAGTGCTGGAGTGTTGTTACAGCATGGGGTCTAAAACCGTTGAGTTGTATGTTATGTTGATGATAACGGGTTGCATATTTTGTTGTTGATTGTGTTGTTCTCTCAAATTTGATAGGTACCTCTGATTGGTCATAAAACTATCTGCAGGTGTTCTGAATGAAGATCAAAGCTATGTTTTTCATACATTGCAGCTCATATACTATTAACACTAAATATACAATTTGCAATAAGCAACTATTTTGTAATTTTATTTATTTTTAGATTTATAAACACATGCTCCCTCCGTCCCATAATGTAGGATATTATGAGACAGAGGGAGTAGTTATTTATTTTTAAGCCGTTGCAACGCACATGCACCTTATACTAGTATAAACCATCTAAAAACGAAGTAATATCCTTTCCATCGACAAGGGATCCACCGTGTCTCATGGTTCTATGGTTAACAGAGATGAGGTGAATCGGCAACGACCGGCAGGAGGTAGAGAAATTCTAGCCTTGTTTTCTTGAAGAAAAAGAAGAAGAGGAGGTGGCGGCCGACGGAGGACTCTGGCCTTGTTTTCTTGGAAAGTTGAGGAGCCTACCTTGTATTTTTTTTAAACGAGCATAACCCTTTTTCATTACTGCGACATAATAGAAATATAGCAATCCAGGGAAAAGGAAGAAAAAGGATAGCGAGTTCAAGCATCGCCGGAAAATTCACCTGAGCACTCGTCATGAAGAGCCTACCCCTGTTTTCAGCTCGAAAACGATTGGGCCGGCCGGACTCTCCCCTCCCCCTCCCCCTCCCCTGTCTCCTCGCTCGATTCCCCCCGAACAGGATCAGCTGAGCGCGCTAGGGTTCCTCACCCCGCCGCCCGCTCCTCTCCTCTCCTCCTCCCTCCTCCCTCCGACGAGCGAGGGCCTCCTCCGGCCCCCGCAGCAGCCGGCGAGCGCGGCCCCGACGCGCCCACCCCGCCTGCCCCTGCCGTCCTCCGCCCCCGGTCACCTCCGCAGCAGCCGGCGAGCCAAGGACGGTGCCGTGACCCTCGCCGCCACCTCCCGCCGTCTCTTCCTGCGCGTGGCCGGCGGCTGCTCTCCTTCGATCGCTGCCTGCCCGTGGTGAGCCCCTCTTCCTTGCCTCTATGTTCCTGGTTCATCTCTTGTTCATGCTGCTAGTTACACGGATCAATGGATGTTGGGTAGATTGATGTACGTTGATGTTAGGTAGATGATTTGCTTGATGGATGGATGAGTGGTGCTAGTTGCTTGCTTGCTTGCTAGATGGATGGATGGATGAATGGTGCAAGCATGTATAATTTTTTTTTTGCTACTGTGAAGGGTCAATGCTACTGTAAAGGCTAGTAACTGGTTCTCTATTGCTGCTGTTTTGTAATAATTTGCTACTGTGAATAGATGGATATATGTATGCACGTGCTAACGCAATGTCCTTGGGGGCGTTGCTCGCTGTCCGGCGATAATGCCCATTAGCTTCTAACTTGGAAGGATTGGAGTGCTGATTGACCATAATGTTGTAATATTACTTTGAGTTCTGAAATAAATTAGACATTCTTAGTCGATTTGATGAATTGGAAGCTCCACCATCCCACTTTGCTATAAAGAAAAGGCAATCCTTTGTATAATCAGGGATCGAAGAAATAAACAGAGAAAAGGGAGGGTTAACATCCAAGCTAAGCGTTCGCCCTCTTATCACTCACAACTATCCCCTCCGTAACCTAGCTCGTGACATCTTAGTACCAGAGCCAGGTTTTGATCCTGGAACCTATGGGGATAGTTCGCATTCAGAAGAAACTAGGTACCTATGGACGCGAGGATGGTTGGGCGACATGGCTTATGGGATCGGGGACTAGAGCTTAGGATGGTTGGGAGGACGAGGGGGGAGATAACAGATTGATAGAAGACGTTGCGATTATATGGCACAATTTTATTTGTCCTTCAAATGCATGGACCTTTATTTGCAGTTGTTGACTGGGATTCTCTAGTTGTTGTTTTATGCCCTGCTCGATATCTGTATCGTCTTGTGTCACTCATCAAAAAGAAAAGTTATCTTGTGTCATTCCTCAAAAAGAAAAGTTATCTTGTGTCAGACTGTATTTTCTTTGGTACTTGATTGGATCAAAACTGATGGTGCAGCATTGCGGCAACACTCTAGAGGTCAGAGTGTTATATCGTACCTTCACCTCTTATCCCATTTTCTTTTTAAGCTGAATTGACCGTCATTAAAAATACTCATTACATTTCCACAGTTCTTTCCTTTATGGAGTAATTGGGGAAGGGAAATTTGTACTATGACATTTTAGGAGGTGACGGCAGTATTTTAAGTGTGTAGACATGCAGTTAGTCCTGATTTAATAGATTACGTAGTTATACATGATGAAGAATAGTGTTTTCCATCTGATAAAACATTAATTTCTAAAGTTTGGTCAAACAAAATAGTTGGGCTCGCAAGTCAGTGAGCATTGTTAGTGGCATTTTAAACCTTGACTATAGGTTGAAATGTGTTTTCCCATGTTTGTGAATTGTTGCATCTACGCTTGACAAATGAGTATGCATGGTTTCATGAGCTTTCGTCAGTTTTCATTTCTTAGAATAATTGGTTGTTAATTTACAAATGATGATTGGATCATGAATTCGGTTTTGGTGACCTTGCAAGATGAAGGTTACTGGCAGATCTGATAGATTCTTTCATTACATTCGCCCAATCCTATATTTGGAATCTCATTGGGGGTCAGTAATATCAGAGGTGGTGCTGGCTAAAAAACCAGGGATGGAGGGGTAGCTCAGTAGAGGACGGGGCCTGTGGTAACAAGTGGTCATGGTTGCTACTTTAGTATGGTATTCTTGGAAGGTGACATATTAGAGAATTTGATGGGTTCAGGGAAGTGTTAGGACAGGGTGATTTTCTCATTGCTTGCTTGGTATAACCTCTCCTGTCACGTGTCTTCTATTCTTCTTGTGGGAGAGTCCTACGGGACTACAATCTATATGAAGCAACTGAGCGGCAACATTCTGATTCTATCTGTAATGACCAAACATATGGGGGGAATCACTATTAGACAATGGCATGGCAGTAAACGTAGCTTCTGTACTTTCTTTCCTGGAAGCACTTCAGTACTAAATGTGTCATTTAGCTTTATTGTTTGGATATACCGATATAGTAGTGTGTTTCTGCCACATGACACTAATCATTTGTACTCCAGGTTTTTGTCTTACCATGTTTATTTTACAAACATCCTGTGTGGAAATGCATGTACATAACCCCCCTTATATCATGGCTCCAGGTTTTCTTGCAATGGTTTTTGGTGGCGGCTTCAAATTTTTAGTGGGAGTGGGATGTGGCGTCTATGTGGCTCAGAACTACAACGTTCCAAATGTCAAGAAGCTGTTCAACACGTATGTTTTCCTGGCAAAGCACGTTGAGGAAACGTACCGTAAGCCGCCGAAGAAAGACGACGACTGATTATTATCATGCCCATGGCGAAAAGAAGTATATATATACTCTGACTTGACAGAAACATGATCTTCGTGAATGTTAAAAGGAGTTATGATCTTTTCAAGAGCTGAGAACACCAGCTGTGAAGTTTGTCATGGCAAGGTTTGTGGATCTTTATGATGAAAACCTTATTGTTTTTTAACGTCCGATTCAAATATTATGGCATAAATGGGTGTCTGGCATCTTACCAAGAGTGCCCTGATTTGCTTCCCTGATTTGCCATCTCTTTACTGGTTATGATGCAGTTTTTTCCTAGTTCACGGTTTCAGCACAAATTCTCACCGGTTGCAGCTATGTCGCAGCCGGTTGCAGCTATGTCGCAGCCGGTTGCAGCTTTTTGTGGTTGCGCGTTGTCCGCCTCGCCTGATTCTGTACTTATTCATTGAAAAGTGTGAAGCTTATTTACATATTTTCAGGCACTATAAAGAAAGAAAGAAATGTATATGAGCGGGTGTGGCTCGAGGTGCGCCGGCTTGTGCCGGTTGACGATGGCGCTTTGAGCTAAATCCGTAATTTCTACTACTCCATTCGTTAATAAATATGAGAGTGTTTAGATCACTAAAATAGTCCCTTTTGGTAAAAAGTTTTGAGTCTCGTTTTGCCGTAAAAAAAGAGAGTACATGAATGTGTTGGTACCTTTTACCAGGCTCCAAATAGCTGGGGCGGTCTGGCCGACACGTACACGCGTGCATCACCACTCCTGTGTGCTTCTCCGGAGGTCGGCTGAGAGTGAGACGAAACATCGAGCCAAGACAAGAGAGGCACCTGCCAACCTCTGAATCATTAAGACCTCAAAAAAAAAAAACCCTCCGAATGATTAAAGTTGTATATGCCGACGTCTGGCTAGTGGAAGCGGTCGACCAGCCGCTGAGCCGCACGTACGTACCACGTGTCGGCTCACTCTGATTCTCTCTCTCCGCAAACGTATGTGAGTCACGAAATTTTTGTGTCGGCCGGGGATCCATTCGCTCGCGGACCCCTTCCCTTCCCCATAACCAGTCCAAAATCTCCGGCGAGGTTTGGTTCCTCCCGACCCCTGGCCATTGTATTGCTGCACTTCGTCCAGGTAAGGATTCCTCTGCTCCCGCATCTAGCTACGGAGTAGTTTATTTATTGCCCTCGGAGACTGGTTTCAGCTCATCAGTTACTGCCAAGCTCGGGAGTTTTCCTTGCTTATTACGGTGCTTGCTTCCCCGTCATATGTGACGGGACTAGAGGAGCCACTTCCCGGCGGGAGGATATCATACCCAAACCAATATTTAGTGGAAGCCGATGAAAACCACACAAAAACGATGCTTTCAAGTTCTGAAAAATCTGGAATATATATATAGGATGTTAACAGGGTGATGTTCTATTGCCGTGCAAAAATTTCAAACTCAAACATATTACGTGATGTGAGCTATAAAAAAGACAGAGTTAACATTGAATAGTGCCAAACAGTAGCGTCACTATTTATTATTCTAAATTTGTCTTTTTCAGGGCTCGCATCCCGCAATATGTTTCTACTTCAAACTTCACATGACAATAGAACATCATCTTCTTAACATCTTTTTTTTTAGATTTTTGAAAACTTTCAAATGTGGTTGCTCAGATGTTTTCTTTGAACCGTTGATTTCCGTATGATATTCTCAACTTCCCGGCCGCCCTCGAGCCGCGGCTTGTGCTGTGTGGGTTGGGCGACGACGACGACGACAATGACGCTTTGAGCGCGTCCGTAATTTCTATTTTTCGTACTCTTCTATGGGCGTCCAACTCGGCTTCTGCCCTTATATTTTCGGGGAAAAAAAGTGAATCTCGTGTTCCGGTCGACATCAACTTCTTGGTGTGGTGTGGCACACCAGCGCATGTCGACCGACGTTGATGGATGAACCGACGGTGCCTACACGCGTGCTTGTCTCCGGTTGTGGGCTCACACCAGTGCCAAAATCTGTCATGTGCTAGTATGGATCCTGCATCACCTGCAGTACTACTTTGATGTAAGTCTGTCACGGACAAGTAAGGCCTTCGCCTCTCACTCCTCTCCTATGCATTCCTCCTCTCGCTCTGCCTCCCCACAACGAAAAGGTTTGGTTTCCGTTCCACTCCCCACCCCGGCGAGCTTGCCTGCTCCAACTAATCTCCCTCGACATTGCCGCGCTTCGTTGGTAGCTCCCGGCCGTGTTTATCCTTGCTCTGATTTTGCTGCTCAATTCATGGTGTAGGCTTCGACGGTTGCTTGCTTGATTTGGGCCGGTCGACTGACTTGGAGCTATAACGTAATGAGTCCTCTGCTCCTCCTCTGTTTCTGCCAGTTTAGTCTTTTTTAGGGGATTTCTGCGCCCCGGGAGATTGGTTGCAGTTCTATTTATCACCGCATTGTGTTAGTTCGCGGTGCCTCTATCTTGATGATTATTCGCTGGTATTTTCGGAGCCACGACCAACTCCTTTTTGCCATTGTTGTTTCTCTTTTGGCCCTATTTTCATTATGAAAATGGAGTCACGATACAAGCAAATCAAGTACCGATTGAGATCATACATCCCTGTATAGGCCGGTAACAAAGACACCGCTCCATAGAAGTCAAAGTTTTCACCATGCTTGATGGGGTGGGAATTCTTGACACCGCTCCACTCGTAGTCACGTGAATCCTCGACGGATTCTTGGTTACAGGCAACTTAATCACATATATTAACAATGCGGGTGACAATCTTCATGCAGGAGGTAGCCCATCCTCGGGTGACCTTATTCAAGCTAACATTGCATTCCTGAACTTGTTCATCTCTATCTATTTATATCCGTGCGACAATGCACTATCTAACTCATCTGTTCCGATTAGTAGTGAGATCGTCGATGGGGAAGAAAGGTCTGGTGGTGGTGACCAGCATCCTCGCCGTGCTGACGGTCGTGTTTGGAGTCATCAGCGCGGTTCTCTTGGCGCTGGTATGCACGCATCACACGCTAGATAGTATGTCTTTCTCGTTGTAACATGCTAGATGCTATCTCTTTCTCACTCTAAAACCTTCAGGCAAGATTTCCGGAAAAAAACTTCGGCTAAGCATAATCTAGTTGATAATAATATTGTTGATTTTCCTTAACGGCGTGCATTCGTTCATGCAGAAACATCATCAAGATGACCATGGCGAGTTCTCTACGTACCGGCGATCGCCGGCGATGCCATGCGGTGTGGTGGCAGCCATCTTGGCATCGATGACGCAGATTCTTGCCAGCGTGGCCATCTGCTGTTGTGGGGCATGTCGGATGACTAAGGGGGCCAAGCGCATCGCCGCGGTGGTCTTCTTCATCACCTCATGGTACATAAATAATTTGGTTATTCGCAACCCGATATCCTGTCTGCTTTTTTTTCCATTACCAAGGAAAATATTGTCATTAAAACTAATTAATGCTAGTCTATGTGGCATGGTGCGCTAAGTGGTGGTGCATCCCGAGAACTTTATAATTCATTGTTCTTTTATCATTTCTCTTAGAATTTGAAGACTGAACTTTAATACAGAATTTATATCTACTTGGTGTCTTGTTCATTAAAGTTGTATAATTAATATGGTCTCTACACCATGCGTATATACTTGCAGGGTCCTCGCGATCATAGCGGTGCTACTATTTCTGGCAGGCGCCATGTTGGGATTTGAAGGCTCTGCAAAGAAAACCGTTGGGAATGCTAGGATTGTCGGAGGTGTCGCAATTTTTGTGATCACGACGTTTTTGTTTCTCGTAGTTGCCGCCCTTGATGTTGCCTCGTACCGCCTAGTTCGAAAGAAGGGCCAGTACCAAGCATATGTTGGCAGTAATCCTCCTTTTGTGCCATCTAAAGACGCTCCCTACGGTTCTGCTCCTCCACCGCCAAATCAAGTCTAAGGTTAGCTCTGCCACCATGGCATGGTTGTCTTTGCCTTCCAAAGGAGGAGCGTGCTGTATGTACCGTGGTAGGTGGAAGGCGTAGGCTTTGACCCATGCTACCATTTTGCGTGTTTTGTGTGTTTGTTACGGTTTCATTCAAATCACGAGAAAGAATTCAAAAGTTTATCTGCATTGCTTGAAACATGTGCTTGTGAAGCTTTTTTATATGTTATGAAAGCCATTATAGGTGGCTGCCATCTGGACTATCGAAATCATTGATGGGAATAAATGTCGTCACTCATGTGCGTTTCTTATCGCCATCAGAGTTTAGTTGGGTTTGTTCTCACGGGAAAAGGGTGGTTTGTGTGTTGTGTTTTTTCTTAATGTATCCGATTATAAAATGAAATATCTATTGAACCAAGTGTCCAAATTACGGACCAAAATATCTATTGAACCAAGTGTCCAAATTACGGACCATTTACACAGTTGCGTTCCTCTTGTTAAAATCTTCAAAATTAGATCCATCTTTATAGGTTTCAATGAACTTTTTCCAGCGTAACTTGTACCCCATCGAGAACTAACTTGTACCCTCTGAAACAACATTGTGTACTTCGCACGGTTGTTTGTGTACCCTGTGCAGCACAAGGTTGGCAGATTGACATGCACGTAAATAAGGAACTTAGTTTATTTTAGAATTCCACAATGAAATACTCAATTTTCTTGCAATTATACTACTCCGATCCGAAATAAAAGGGAAACCTGAAACTATTTTCAGAAATTAAAGTATGCATGCTATTCTAAATCGAGGTTAAGTCAAACTTTCTAGTGTATTATATTATTGTTTGCTCTTCCAATGTGCCTTTTCTGATGGCACCGCCTTGAAGTACTTGGTTCTCCGTGTACACAGTTTTATTCCTTCGTGATGACGATTGAGGGCTCTGGACACTTCAAGTGGTGCCTTAGGTTCCTACGTGTAGATTGCTTGGAGTGGTATGGGATTATGTAGACCCTGCATGTGTTGTGGTGTCAAGTTGTATGGATTGATCTGGATGTTGGTTGGTGCTTTATCGATATGCGGGTACGAGCCTTTTGGTCATTTTCAATACTCTCTCATTCTTTGTTATAAATACTACTCCTTAAGTTTCTAAATATAAGTCCATTTAGAGATTTTAGTATGAACTACAAACGGATGTATAAAGACATATTTTAGATTCACTTATTTGTTTCGTATGTACCTTAGAAAATGAAAAAATATGCATGAAAGGCAACAACGAGTGCATTGTCTACCAATTTGTGTAAAAACTCCAAACATATTCCCACTGGGGATACATGTCCTACATGCGACACGGAGGCAAAAACTACATATCATGCCCTAGTTAGATGCGATCGTGCACACATACTGTGGGAGGTTGTGCGGTCAGTTTGGGTATTGCCATAAAATACCCAACTACGTAATTAATACTGGCAAGGAGTGTGTAGACATTTATGATGCAACTCTCAATATTTATTGGATGTTTTTTTAAAAAGGAGGATGTATCCCCGGTCTTTGCATCTGGGTGATGCATGCATCCATTATATTAATTATTCATAAAGCCCTTGCAAGGTAATACCCAGTAGGCCTGAAGCTATGATCTTGGCAACACTAGTAGCTACTCATATACCCGTGATGAAGGGGTGCCGAATGTCTGAGCCTAATATCAAACAGACATCGCACCAACACCTAACATCTAATGCCGGATGCCCCACCCAAGTCACAATATCTGGACTGGGTTACACACCGGTCCGACGCACTTTCAGTGAGCACCACATGCGCACGCTTCAAGGGCCGTCACCTCCTTCATCCATCGATCCATCCTCAGATCAGATACTGATGCATCGACCTTGCCAGGCCTCTCTTCCATCGACACCACCACGACGCCAGACAGTGTCGTCCTCCTGCATGAGTCCATCGCCACCCATCGGACGCCGAGTCTCCACTGCGCCATGCCACTGAGATCCGCCGATATCGATGTCTAGGATGAATCACCGCTCCACCACCTACCACACCCAACCACCAAGCCATCCACGTGTCTGTCCAGCCGATGAATGTCTCCAAAGATGATGCCCCATGGGGGTGACGACGAAGACATCGCCGACATCCGATCCAAGAGGTCCCTCAATGCCTCCAACGAGGGCTATGACGCCCACGGGCACCGCCGTCAATGGTAGCCTTCTCACTCACTTCAGCAGCTGGGGCACCCGCCCCCACCAATGCCTCCTACGAGGAAAATGACACCCACAACCGCCGCCGCCGATGGTGGCATCCTCACCTACTTCAGCAACTAGGCCACCATCTCCTCCTCCACTTGATCCGTGATGTCTACTATGCAACTTTATTCTTGTAGACACGTGTTGGGCCTCCAAGGGCAGAGTTTTGTAGGACAGTAGCAATTTTTCCTCAAGTGGATGACCTAAGGTTTATCAATTCGTGAGAGGTGTAGGATGAAGATGGTCTCTCTCAAACGATGTTGCAACCAAATACAAGAAATCTCTTGTGTCCCCAACACACCCAATACAATGGCAAATTATATAGGTGCACTAGTTCGGCGAAGAGATGGTGATAAAAGTGTAATATGGATGGTAGAAATATATTTTTATAATGTGAATAAATAAAAACAGCAAATTAGAAAATAGTAAACGGGCACAAAAACGGTGTTGCAATGCTTAAAAAATGAGGCCTAGGGTCCGTACTTTCGCTAGTGCAACCTCTCAACAATGCTAACATAGTTGGATCATATGATTATCCCTCAAAGTGCAATAAAGAATCACTCCCAAGTTCCTATTAGCGGAGAACAAAAGATAAGAATTGTTTGTAGGTCACAAATCCACCTCAAAGATATTCTTTCCATTCGATCTATTCAAGAGTTCGTACTAAAATAACACAAACCTATTTTTTCTGTTCGATCTATCCTAGAGTTTGTACTAGAATAACACCAAAGCAAATTCATATTCTATAAGAGATCGGACCTACTGTGTCGATCTAAAAAATGTCACGTAATAGCTAAAAACGTCACAAAATACTCACGTGTGACATTTCTCAGGCGTCACCAGCATCGTCACGGAATCCCCGTCACAGATTATTACTAGTGACGCTGCGCGCAAAAAACGTCACCGGATATGGGACCTTCGGTGACGTAACTGTCGTCACTAGATTTTTGGTAGGCCAATGTGCTTTGGATTTCCAAATGGGCCCAGCCCAATAATTCAGTTCATTTTTTCTATTTAGGGTTCAATTTTTTTGGTGGATCATAGCCTATTTAAAACTCAATTATGGTTGATCCAACCAGCCCCTTTTTATGGAGCAATTGCCATTTTCCGTTAGCCTTTTCAAGGATTATTTTCTTTATAGTTTTTGCCTCTAATAATACTTCAACATTGTCTGATTCAAAACATATTGTGGGCTTGTGGTCTTTTGAAGCCCATCTTTCCATTGACCAATTTTCACATAATATTACAAGCTAACTAGTCTCTAAACAACATGCATATTACAAATCACAGTTACATGCCCCATGCAAAGTAACCCAAGCTACATCACCATCGAATACATCTTTTTTACTTTGTTCGTGTGACTCTTAGCTCCCACCTTCATAAAAACTTGGATTTTTGTTGGATGCCTTTCTCGTGACTTCTTGAAGGCAACTAAAGTTGTTCTGATCCTCCATTGTCCATATCAACTTCTTGAAAGATGACTTACGAATCAGCCTATTAGAAACAAAGACATAAATATAACATTATGAATGAGTTACAGAAAACCATCTACCATTGCAACAAAGAACGACATGCAAGTAACTTGGAGCTCTAGGTTGGAACCTTAACAAAAAATACACGTTAGTATTTGTCTAATAAGTGATATGATCAAAACTAAACATGTCGTATTCATGAGCAACAAAGGTCATCTGAAATATTTGATTGGAATAAGCACATATCAATACATTAGAAAAGAGAACTATTGGTAAGAGGACACGCATAAATAATAGCTCAACACAAAGTTTGAAATCCAGAGAGGAACAAATTAAAATTTGTAGTACGTACTCCTTCACAAATTAAAATGGTGCAAGAAAACAGAATATTCGACAAAGACTCGAAGGAAGAAACCTTCAAGCAACATAGAACAATGCAGAAAGCATGAAAAACTTAGTGTGATCAATAAGAAACTTCCATCTAAAAATCAATTACTTACAATTACGCTATGGTCACAGGACTAAAAAGTTCGTTTAGGCTTTGATCTTTAGTTGTAAACTTGTAATATATCTGCTTACTTGGACAGTAATCTGCATTAACATATAGTTAGTATCACTTCAGATTGCCTAAAGGAGTTCAATGAATTAGTTCTCCATTAGTAATTTGCCAAAAACATGTCGAATCGCTCATTAAACTCCCACTGCAGTTCAACAACAGCAATTCACTTGCAAATCTCTTCACATTCCCTCAAACAGAGTTGCCACGAGATCAGAACTACAAAATAATATAACAATACTGGGGGAGCATCTGCATAATGAAAATATTTTACTGCAGCTAATTATTTAATTACTAACCCATTTCACATGTACTATCTAGGTTCTCATGATAATTTCTCTAAAAGATAAATCAGAATATGGACAATTCAGTTTACAATTTTCAACTTAGTGACACGTATAAACTAGCTTCCATATTCTAGCTCAACACCACTGACAGTATGGCACAAAAAATGACTATCTAACCTAGCAAATATTACTATAGAAGCATCTCACGATTAACCAATAAGAACTCACTAACAGGGAGGAACAAAACAAAAGTGATATCTGAACCAATCCCCGCATGTAAGCGGTTCATCTAAACTGAGAGGGGATAGCTGAGCGTCGTACACATGTAACATGTTAACCCAGCCACCCAGGTTGCTGGTCGAGCTTAACGGACCTCCCACAGAACTCCGGCATGCCCCTGTGGTCTGTGCTCAATGTAAATCTGACGGACAAAACCAAAGAAGAAGAAAAACAGAG